AGAGTCATGTGAGGCTGGAGTGCGCACTTTCTTCTGTGACTTCTAGACATCAGAATACAACAAAAAAAGAACCAGATTGGTAAATTTATTTAAGACACTCGGGCGTAACGTCCTACGTCCACATAGGCACTGAGAAAAATTTTGGGAGCCCATCCCCATCCGAGTTGGGCTCCCAAATTTAAAGAAATTTTCAGCTATGCTGTCACTTAGTTAGATAAGTATCTAAAACAATTTATATTTACAATATCATGATAACCTTTTCAAGTACCTACGCTTTATTTACAGATAATATAATTTTTCATATTATCAAAAAGGAAAATATGTATAATTTGAAATCAAGTAGTTGATGTAACTTGACTAAGTAACAACATACAATCTAAGCTCTAGGTATATGCTGTCATCGTTTTCCATTATGTATTGCATTTAACATATGATTTATTTGACACTAAATAACCATAGGCATTGCGTCGTCGGCTATTATGTTACAAAGTGATGTTCAAACACATCATAAATTGTACGCAAATACGTCGTATTACCATGTCGATCGAAAGCCTTTCTGCACCTTAGATGGCGCAAGACGTCTCTCGCATGAAGATTGTGCTAAAACTACAAAATTTTGTTTTAAATGAATACTCAAATCAATATTATAATATTGTTATGATAATATAATTTAAGAAATAGCATCATTATTGAAAAAAAGCCTTGTCAACAAATCATCAAATTTTTAGATTACGTAGTTTTACAATTAAAATGTTATTTTACAAACATAAATTATCTTTCCATTTATAACATTTTCCTAAAAATGACATTAAAAGCTCTTGAATGATATAATTGCTCTAATATATTTATGTGTGTATAGAGATAAATGTTAACAATTAGATGTTCTTACGAGCAATTAGCTGTTCATTGATCGAATGAGCTGAGTAGAATAGTAATTAGGATAGTTTGCTTTGTCTGATTCTGTATTGATCTGGAAACTAAGAAAATATATTATTATAATCCTTTGTTGATCTCGTAGAAGTCGTCTGAGACGCTTATTATGTTTTGAAACTTTAAAATGTTTCTATTTAAGTCAATTAGTGAATTTTAAGTATTTGTAAGTGTGATTTTGATGTGCGAATTCAAAGTAATTCTATGTTAAAGATATTTATTTTTATTTATATTATTACATGTTCTTATTTTGTTAGTAAACGAATTTTGATTTATCTCGTCTATTCTTATGCGTTACTGCATACTATACCCCCACAGCCGGGGTCCAAGCCTTCCTCCATTCTTGGAATAGATTCAAATCGAACAGTGAAAATTTGCCATGACCAACCAAGCGGGCTCAGTGAGGAGGATAGGTGGGTGTTAACGACTTTACATGCAGAAATTTTTGGCTACCCTATGACCGGCACAAATTGCACGCTAACCACTGCTCCATCGCCTGCGGGATATACGTGTACGTTCGTTCTCCTTTCATCATTATCATCATCAGCCCTTTTACGTCCCCACTGCAGGGACTCAGGCCTTCCTTATGTATGGTTAAGCAGGATGGGCCATGACCCTCCACGCTGGCCCAATGCGGATTGGAGGGAAATAACGTCTGTAAATGCAGCCGGGACCAACGGCTTAACGTGCCTTCCAAAACACGAAGTAGCTCGAGATAATAATTGTTTGGTCACCCATCCCGTGACCAACCCTTGCGAAAGTTGCTTAACAACAAAGATTGCGGGTCGCGGCGCTTATCCTCTACGTCACCGATCTACTTTCTCCTTTCTCGTTGTCCTTTACTCATTCCATTTCAGAAATTCTCATTTTTTGAAAAAGGGAACAACACACATTCCAATCATTCATCACCTCCTCCTCCTATCTAAAAAAAGGTTATTGGTGTTTATTTAAGATGAAAATTTTGTGATATTATTTCTCTCTTATCAGTTGTTTCTTTAATTACGATTTTTAAGAGTCGGTATAATTTTATCCTTATTTGTTAGTCATTAGCTATTTTTTATCGTTGCTTGGGTACTTGCTTTACTTAATTTATGTAATTATCATTAAATGAAATAAAAGAAAAACTTAATATACTTACATATTAACAGATAATCGTAATTATCTTAATAAATAAACAAATTAATTAATTGGTAGTAAATATTAACTTGTTGACATAAAGTAATAGAAGACTTCCGTAATTACTGTCGTGAGAAAAATTACTAATCGGACACAAACATACATCCTTTTGTGAACCGTGTGATTACTTAGCAACCGGCATATTAATCAGTAGGGGAGGGGGGGCTAGTTGTAACAATTTGTGACTGTAAAAGCTCACTTGAATGGTATTAAGTAAATCCAGCAGTACTATTCCAATTACCCCACATATACCCCACAGCGAGGTTTTTGAAATAATATCTATTAAAAAAATCGCATACTTGATGTTAAATTATAATGAAACTAAACAAATGTTAAATGTATTCGTATAAATCAATAACTACTAAATAATTTGAAGTCTGTGTGAATCAATTTAAAGACTTCTCTGTGTGAAATAAAACAGGGAGAGAAAAAAGCAGCCCTTGCTGAGTTTCTTGCCGGTTTTTCTCAGTAGAAGGTCTCCGACATTCACAAGTAACAGACTAGACTAAATAAATGATGTTGAATTTAAATTTGCGATGATACGAATCACCACCATTTTATTAGTGTCTCTATTGTTGTAACTTAGGTCTTTTCATCGTCATAATTATTAGCCCATTACTGTCCCCACTGCTAAAATTAAGGCGTTGTTTATGGTTAGTGTCATTGATTCTATACAATAAGAAAAAATATCATTGCGGATTGGTATGTGTCAACAACTGCAGCAGCAAGAGCTTAACGTGCCCTCCGAAGCACGGAGAAGATCGAAAATTTTGTTCCCACCCACCCTATGAATAGCCCTTACGAAACTTGCTGATCAAACTAATACAAGGGAGAATGAGCACTTTTCATCACTCGGGCGCAGTGCGGATTTGTTAATTAACACAGCTGCAATTAATGAATAAATATTCCTTCCTGTGTATTTATTCATATTTTTTTAATTTTTTTTATTGCCTAATTAAATGGTGGACTTAATGCCGGAGGCATTCTCTTCCAGTTAACCGGTGAGGATTTACAGAGACTTCGGAGGGCAGTGTCGCTGGTGGACTATAGAGTAGGTACAGACAGAGCTCCGAAACTGTTGCATCATACGCGGTTGACATAGGCTATAATTTATACAGGCGAAGTCAATGAAAAACAGCAAATATACTACATATAAGCAATCATTTATAACCTCCCTTTGTCGTTACATCTTGATTATAAATTTGGTGAAACTTTAGTAAATAAAAATCTATATACTAGCAGTAGTAGTTAGCTATAAATAGCAGAAAACAACTCTATCCATCTGCTTATATATACTCAATAAATCTCATATAAACTAGGCGGCTCGAGATTCTCCAGATCACCTAGTTATTATAATAAAAGTGTTTTTAATTATGAATCGTTAAATATTCGCTAAAGTCTGTGGAAGATTCTATGGAGAGGTAAAATCATAAAAAAACGATAGTTCTACAATACAAACTGGAACTGAAGTTCTATGTGAATTATAATAAAATAACAAACTTACCGGATAGATTAACGACTACATTCACCACAAAAATTTAAGTGAATACGAACACATTTATACTATTTCTAAGGTAATAAGTACATGAACTTTGTACTTTAAATAATTATATAACAAACATTGTAATTTCGGATTTCCCTTTCTTGCATTGATAATTTTCGGAGTATACAACAAATAACCTTATTTGATCGAACCAAATAACTGTTGTTAGATACCCGATCATACTAATTTAACCATCATATTATTATAGTGATAACGTTATAATCATCCGAATGTAAACTTTACTATGAATGGCCCCTACTAATAATGTACTCAAATCAGTTTCTCAATTAATTAATGGAGTTACGTTAAGCTAAATTATATGATACACTTTATTGCTTGCAACGATGTTGATATATTAGTTACGTTAATTATATAAGTAAATACTTTTTTGTGCTTTGACGTTTTGATTTATTTTTTTTGCGATATAGAAAAGAATATAAATTAAAACAACGGTTCACGTTTGGGGTCGTAAATTGTTTGTTAATGTTAATAACAAAAGTTCAATAGAAAATTGGCTTTTTTCTATATTGGTATTTTGTGTTTCGCTCCGAGAACTTAAGGTAAGTTATTAAGGGAAGGGCATTTTTTAAAATGGCGATCGGGCCTAATACCGCAAAGCTACGAGTACTATCAATATAAACGATTGTTATCAGTAAAAACTTTTTTATTTTTTTTTAATAATTTTCGTAATCTTTTTAAATAAAAAAACTTTAAACAGTGTCTCACAAAAAAAAAATTGTGGGTCATATCGCATTTTTGTCAAGATTTTTGTTTTAAATTGTAATGAAAATTTCTTGACTTTAAACAAAACAAAAACACCAGCCAATGGCAAAAACTCTTTCCTAATTGATCCTACCAGGTTTCAATAAAAAAGACCTCTCAAGGTATTATTCAAACGATAGTTTATACAATTCCAGATAGGTATATATTTATCTGTTACTCGATTATGCACCAGCTTACATACTGGCTCATTATACATTTAACATGAGAATTAAAATATATGCAAGTTAAAAAAGTAATCGTAATAATATTGAATAAAGTTCAAATTATAATAAAAGTTATATATAACTTGTTATAGTAGTTCTATAAATAAATAATGTCATTTTTTTGAATATTCCGTTTGACTTATTGTTATAATATTGACTTGCAAAATACATAGATAAAATATCTCGTCACACAAAATTAACATTCTATCTTTTATAAATGACTTTTGTTAAAATACATTTTAAACAATGTAAAAGACACTATACATATTTACAATATTTTTTTTTACTTTAATCAATTATTATCAATATAATAAAAGTAAAGCAATTTGAATCTTCAATAATTAAATTGATCAAATTTAACTTACCCTTGATTTTCCCTTGTCTTTTCCCGCTTCACGTGAGCGGTGTTGTTTCTTAATAGCTCCCATTTTCACTCAAATCAATCACTTGTTAACATTACGAATAAGTTTCACACAAACATCTCACTTTGAAATTAGAACAAAACTATAATTGCTTTATGGTTTGAACACATTTAATTACATTTTGTTTTTTTTTAAACACTAGAACACCACAGAGCAAATCCAAATTTTTGAGTGGCGCGAATAGATACAACGTAAACTTTGATCTATTTTCCCGCGTTGGTGCGCGCGACCCGTGCGTTCGTGCCGGGATGTGCTATTGAGTGTGCTCTGCTCCCGCCTCTGAATGACTCGCCGCCTCCCACGCTTACAACACCCTTTAATTACACGACTACACTCTTTTTACATGCAAATCAATATTGACAGTTAACACCCGAATAATGACGTCCCCCGAAAAACAAATAATCACATGTTAGAGGGACAATAAAGTTTTATTTAATTTATTCTAATAGTAATAGGTGCGCAAATTTTTGATATTTCACCTATTCACATAAAATTTGATCGTTTTCTGAAGCGTAAAAATATACATGTTAAAATTAAAAATAACGTACAAATAGCAACTACAGCAACTAATTTAGCAGCTGATCAAATAAATATACCTGTGCGTTAGAAAAATAACTGATGTTATTTTCATATTTAGATAATATTAACGAAAATTTTTATCGTTAATGAAAAATACCTTATATTATATTATAAAAAATACTTTAAAAATCTAACAGCCCCAGGTACCCGAACTCAAATCCGAGCTGGAACTCAAATCCTGATCCTGACTAATTTTTCAAGCACTAGTTACTTTTCACTACCATAGTGAGCGTATTTTCATAAATGTTCAGGCAATCACCCAAACAGCCGAAATAATTATCTTTACAAATATTTGAAACTTTCGATTAAGATGGAAATTTATGGAAATTATTCCATAAATTTCGCATTCACAATGCTATACTGTTAAGTATCTTTAATAAAAAAATAAACTTGTTTTTATATCAGATATTTCTTATCTGATATAGAAGCACAATCAATATTACCAGTATTTCCGATGAATTAGACAAACATTTATAATTTATTCTTATGGAGTTGTTTCAGCTTTGAATTTGTTATCAAATAAATTGTTTTAGTATCGGTATTTTGTATTGCTTTATACATGGATAGCAAAGCAAATACATAAATAGAGTTAAAGTATTATAAATCCCATCAAATGAGCATTTAATAAATTTTAAATTACGAGTAATATATAAATTGAAAACATAAAAACATCCCTGTAGTTTGATTAGAAAACCTCATCATGAAAAAGTGATACAATGACTGTCTCTTAAAATGAATATCACAAGAGCACAAATGACGATAAAACTTGCAAAAAAAGAAGTTTTGCAATTATTTAATTAAACTTTTTCGCATTGTTTTAATGTCTTCATGAAGCACAATCTTGGTTACTATTACGCTAAAGTGGCCGATTTTGCTATCGTCTCATGGACGTAAGGAAAAAAGAAAATCTTGTTCAGTACTTTTCTGTTGTTTATAATCTTCTGTGAACAACACGGTGAAGCCACATGTTTTCATTAAGGTGTAGAGTTCGGACGTTAGGGTTGTCGAGCTAGGACGTGTAGAGTTAAAAGATTGGCTTTATATCAGATCTGATAAATTGACAGTGCGAGTCGTATGGTCTCGTCTTGAAATTGAAAGTGTTTTTGGTGAAATTTAAATTCTTTTGTAATTGGCATAAATCACCAAATTTAATTAAAATATTATAATTATTTCTGTATAAGTTGCTTATAGCAAAAATTTTTGACAATGGCACAATGGTTAGACGTCCGATCTGCGATGCGGAGGTTAAGCAATATTCACAAGGGCCTATCATAAGATGGGTGATCAAAATTTACTAAGCCAAACTCCTCCGAGCTTCAGAAGACAAGTTGAAGCCGTCGGTCTCTGCTGCATCAATAGTTGTTAATAACCACCAATCCCTATGCGGTTTATGTGGTGGATTATGGCCCATTGCCTAGTCTATTTAAAGGGAAGGTCCTAGCAGTGGGAACATCAATAGACCGATGATGATGACTAGCTTACCTTTATTATAATCTACACTTAATAAACCAAAGAAACTTTTACGATAAGGTTTTATTATCTTATTAGGTAGATTCTTTAGGTAGATTTCGATGGCATTTAAAAAACTTCAAAACTTCTAATCGTGATACGTTATTTGAACTATTCTTGCACTACATTTAATCTTTGTAGCATTCATTGCATTCAAAACGCCCCGGCAAAGTTTAAATTTCTGTGATGATGATCCACTATTGATGATGTATAAAACATTTTGTTGTTTCGACTCATACATTTTTATTCCAAAAAATGGAATCGACTTCAATCTCTAAAATAGTGATAAATATACTTATCTTAAAAGCGACTTAATTTTTCAAGAAACTGCTGTCGAATCTACAGGTTATTAATAAAAACACAAACGAACGACTAAATAGCAATTTCTTGAATAATTAACTTGCTTTTAATATAAGCTATTTTTGTGATATCGATATTTTTCATAAATATCTAAATGCATATAGGTATACTACAAACCTAATATGTATATAAATATGTCAACATAGTGAAAGCAAGACTTTATTAGTTTGCATTACTATTTGTTCTTTGAAACTATTTGTTCACAATACAAAAAGAAATCGGCGAACATTCTACTTAAAACATCTACTTACATAAAAAATATACATACCTGTTAAATTTAGAAATACCTCCTTTCTGAATTGGATGAAAAGATGTTTTTGTTGATATAAACATGTCGTCTAATAGTTTGGTGGTTTTCGTGTAAACATATTTGTTTTGTTATAAAAATAAAACTACTAATTCGATTTCGATAGAATTTATGGAACGACCTCGAGGTCATAAGCAGTCTAATAAAAAAATATTGGGAAAATCGGTTAAGAATTCGCGGAAAATTCATAGAAAAATACATCGCCGTTTAATATTTAACCTACTCCTTTTCGATTTCAAGTCGGTTAATATAATAGGTCTAATTGAAGAGATTTATTCTCATGCTTAAGTTTGTGTATCATTTCGTTTACTTATGTCATATTTTTAAACGTTTTAAATCGACTCCAAAATTGAAAAAGAGGCAGTTCTCCGTCCACGGGTTTGTATTTTTGTACGTTCACTAATTTCTCTGCTACTTGTATATAAACTGATTTTCAAAGTTATTATTTATCCAAAAACTCTTTTTTTTTACTTTTCTTTATTTATTGTTAACAAAAAAATTTTATAATATTTTTTTTATAAAGTTATTAAAAAATCTCTATTTACGGTTACTAATGTATTTTATAAACAAACAAATTTTTGACAAGCGACGAAATATATGCTTAAAAAAATAATAAGTAAATGTTATTTATGCAAACAAATTTTATTTATTTCGTCATACACATACAAATATTACTTACAGTTAATTAGCCTTCGTCAAGGTAAGTTGAAATACGAAACCTTCAGATACCCTTACAAGAGATGAATTATTTATTTCTCTATATTTTTATTCACACACTTTCAATATCGTTGAAGTTCTTGCCTTCTACTTGAGTTAATAATATTTTTTGTCATCCATCCAGTGTCTTGTCTTTATGAATATTGCTTAACCACCACAATCGCAAAACAAACTGCACCATTCAAGCTTTCCATGTCCATTATAGGTTGTAATATATTCTTACGATTGCAAGGAAAGTAGTATGTATTGCTCAATAACACGAGTACAAAAATGGGCGATTCGTATGCAGTATTGACGACTGCGGACACTTGTTGGTTGCGCTCATAGTCATTAGCTTAAAGCTCGATTAGTTGGATCAGTGGTTCCTAACATATGGGAAATTAACCCCGCGGGGTTAATTGAATATAGAAGGAAAGAAAACATATAACCAACAAACATAAAAAGGAACATTAGGTAAATAACAAAAAAAAAATTAAAATCAAAGAACAATGAAACCGTCTCAATTATAATAAATAATGTGCCTAAATGAAGTTTATATGATAAACCCGAATCTAAGGCTCCCGTGCTCCTCCCTCTTTATAAGGTCTTAGTACAAGTACACAACATTTTGATGGTAACAAAAATTTTCAAGTCAATCAATTAATCCAATTAGTGCTTACACCAAAAACGGTGAATGCAAAATGCTTATAATTTATAACCATCAATTATTATTAATAAATATGTCTGCAATCACATGTAATGTTTGTAATACAAACCATTTTTGGTTGGAGTGGAATAAGATGCCTAATTGTCTACTTTTAAAATGTATCGCAGACCCTTTCAATTTGCATTTGAAAGATATTCACGAACTTCACGCTATACTACTTGACATGTGATAGATTGAGTGATAGTGATCACGACTTTTTTTTTAATATTAAAATAACGATATCATAACGTTATTTGTCTAAGGCAAGCTTTAGGCACAAATCGTCCATGAAGAGTCAATAAATAATAACTGATATTTTGTCAATTTTTGTTTTATTGTATTATTTTATATATTATTCGTTGTAAAACAACTACTACACAATAGTGACAAAGATTTTGGGTTCGTTTCTTATGTTTTTTGTAAGATAAACAATAATTGCAATGTACTGAAAAAACCAATATAGTAGATTTGAAACGTTTCTTTCGTCTCCTGAAACGTTGCATTTTTGCAGTTATTATTTATTGACTCTTCATAGACGAAATATTACTTTATTATGTTTCTTGATAATTCATATCATCATCATCTGTTTTGAAAGCATTTGCGACTTTGAATGCTATTAAATTCCATAAAACGCTATAAAATCACTATATATTTGAAAGAAATAGCTTTAGATATTGAATTAAGATAATTAGGCCACAGATATTGTAAAAGGTCATAAGGGGTTACAGTAAAAAGTTTAGGAACAACTTAGTTGCACTAATTGATCTAGTGATAATGACTCTGTTTACTTAAGTTACCATTCGTGACAAATAGAGACAGAATAAATCTAATCCTTAAGTTTCAAAATGCGCCACGAAAACAAATGAAATCAGACTAGTTAATGAAACAAGAAATAAATAATGATGCATTATGCGAAACAGTGCATCATTTTTATTATTTTCTTTTTGCCTTTTTGTAATAGCTTATTTTATATTTATTAATATATATATATTTTTACGTTTATATAATTACATATATATTTGTGTAGTACGACGTAGTTACGACATATTTTTTTGTTTTACGACTTTATTAATTTTGAAAGTATTTATTGGTTGACATGTAACATGAGTTCGTCATGCTACGTG